CAAAGGGACCAGCAAACCAAGCGAGCCATCGCATGAACAAGCCAGGCAGCCAGGCGGCCTACCTGACAACTACCAAGACAGCCAGCCAGCCAACAAGCGAACCAAACTTCTCTGATGTCCCATTCGTTGCCAGTCCACCGAGCAAGCCACAACCCCCTTAACTACACGCACACACAAAGGTCTGGGTCTGACGCAGGTGGCGCATCCAAAGGGTTTCCCATCTCAGCAGGTTCTAAGCTGCAATCGCTTGCTACCACAGAGGCTATGATGCCTTAGCCAAGATATTTTTTATGCCTTGGCGTTCCTTGCTAACTTGGGACCTGACCGCAGAAGGGACCATCTGTACCCCAAATGTCCAGCACATCTTGTTCAAAACAGCTTAGGCACTGTCAGGGTTGGGATGGGTTTGATCCTGTCTGGGTTTGCGATGGGGCTCAGAACTTGTGTCTTTTCAAGGGCTCAAGGGGCGAGGCCAGAAATGCAGTTGCAGGGGTTGCAGGGGTGGCTGGGGCGGCTCGTCTTGAACGAGAGCAGAGCACTGGAAGTCCGGACTGCGAGTCCAAGAGCCTGGGTTGCAACTGGCATGGGGTTGGACCGTTCGTGGCTTGGGATGGGCTCAGGTCGCTTCAAGGCTGGGCTGAAAGGGACCCTGCACAAGTCCTTCACAAGCAATCAGGCTGAGAGGCAGCAGGATGGCCCAAGCAAGTCTCGTCATGGCAGTTGCAGAAATGCTAAAGTGTTCAGTCTCAGTGGCATGCATGGCTGTGCTTGACTTGGTTCCAGCATTGGCCGTGGTGGTCGGTTTCTTGTCCGCATGTCGCGAGCACCTAAAGCTATCGAGCAAATCCAGGTCGAGCAAAGCGGTTTATAGAAGCATGTTGTGTCTGGGAGACCGTCCTGGCCTGAATCATATTTGTGCAATGGTCTGAACTTGCTAATCAGAATGTTGGGATTGTGAGGGTTTCCCCTATTCAACCCTTGCTACGGCTGCGTGACAGCCTGCATCCGTATCAAAGGATTGATGACCCTCCTTAGACATAGCGTAAAGTGGCCTTTTTCCTTGGCCATGGCACAGTTGAGACACCCTCTGCCTGCCTAATCAAGGCGCTACTTGACTGACCTTGCCAATGCAATACAGCTCAATTTTACTGATTGCTGCAAGCAAACCACGCATACAAATTTGACACCATGCAAGCTTGTCTGTGAGGCACATTGCTCTTGGTTCCTTCACCATATTTTAAAAGGTGGAAACCGGCCCAGCTTGTCTTTTGCCACTCGAAGCGACCATGATGAGTCAACCCTGCACGAGCCTTGGGTAAACAACGTGTTTCCTTTACTCACTTGCCCGGCCACAGGGCCCGCTCCTCTTGTGGCATGGAAACCCACCCCGCCCAAACGAACCTGTGCCTGCCTCACAACCGGGTTCCTTTTCCTCGGGTTTGGGCGTCTTTGGCCACGCAGCGAGCCCAGGAAGGGCGATCCGCTCACTCCCTCTTCACGAGCGGAGGGTCCAAGCAGCTCACCTGACTGAAACAAATTGAACGGCTCAGTAGAGAGGTTTAGATAGGCCCACACGAGTACCCTTGTCAACCAGGTAGTAAATGACTAATCAGGATTTCGGACGCTGCTCACGTACAAGCCGGCCTTGGGGATGCCGCTTAAGCGGAGCTCATGGTTGTGTGAAGCCAACATCGTGTCCCCTCTTAAGCCTTGCATGTAGCAGTGTACAGTGTACCCCCAGGCGTTGACCCGAGTTTCTCGTTATGCAACAAGTCAGGTTGGTGTTGATCTATGCCCGCTTGCTTGAACCAAGCTAAACCATCTCCAAGTGTTGGCACCGTTTGTATGGTGAAAGGCACATGAGGACGTTTGACTCTCCTCAACTCCCCCCACGGCCCGTCTTTTCTGAGAGATAGATTCTGCATTGACCTGGATGGTGCTTGGAGCCCATGTGTGAATATGTAAAAAAGGACACCCAAAAAGGCACCAATCAGGGGTTATGATTTTGAAAACATGCCTTAGGACATTTATGAAACAGATTATTCTGCGAAACATTCTGCATGCTACCGTGCGTGTGACGCGGTGCACAATACAGACAAACGCCGCTCAAATGATTGGGGAAAAACATGATCATTGTTGACTCGACGCCTGCCCATTTGTCAGGTCGTCGACCCCCTGGTGACCCTCTCTTTGGGGCCCGCCAAAGGTGACATAGGACCCACAAACGGGTCAACAGTTTGACCACGAGTTACCATATCCCTGAAAGGATCTTTTTGACAGAAGCACCCCTTGCCATGAGTGAAATCGCCGCCGAGAAGGCCGAGCAACTCTTTGAATTCCACACGCTCCTTCGCTCGGGCTGCCTGTCTGAAGCCGGTGACCATGGCTCGAAGTGCACAGTAGCTCAGGCCAACCTGCAACGCGCCAGCCGCAGCTCTCTCGTGCGTACCACTGGGCAGACTCAACGGAATTGATTTCTCATTTGTATCCGCTATTGGCAGCGCCTCATTCATTGAGGTGGTCTTTTATTGTATTCGTGATTATCGGTTTTGCTTGTTTGCTTGCTTGCTTCTTGGCTTGTTTGCCGGTTTGCTTCCTTGCCTCCTTGTTGCCTTCCACACTTGCTTCCTGCATTCCTACATTTATTGTGTGTTTGCTTGCTTGCTTGCTTGCTTGCTTGCTTGCTTGCTTGCTTGCTTGCTTGCTTGCTTGCTTGCTTGCTTGCTTGCTTGCTTGCTTGCTTGCTTGCTTGCTTGCTTGCTTGCTTGTTGTCTCTGTGTGTCTATATTTATTGTCTTTCTGTATTTATGTTCTTCTTTCTAGCTTCCTTCCTTCCTTCCTTCCTTCCTTCCTTCCTTCCTTCCTTCCTTTATTTCTTTAATTGTTTCTTTATTCCTTGCTTTCTTGCTGTCTTGATCTCTTTCCGCATTTCTTTATTTTACGTCTCTTGGTTGTTTTCTATTTCTAGATTGGTTAGTGTGTTTGCCCAGTTGTGTTTGTTTGTTTGTTTGTTTGCTTGCTTGCTTGCTTGCTTGCTTGTTTGTTTGTGCGTGCATGTGTGTGTGTGTGTGTCTGTGTGTTTGTTGATTTGTTTATGTGTTGACTTCTCTATTTACTTGTGGATTTATTTGTTTGATTGCTTGTGTGAATGTTTGTGTTGTACGTACGTCCGTCCGTACGTACTTAGGTAGGTAGGTAGGTAGGTAGGTAGGTAGGTAGGTAGGTAGGTAGGTAGGTAGGTAGGTAGACAGGTAGGTAGGCAGGTAGGTAGCTGGGTAGGAATGCATGTTGTGTCTGTATGATTGCTTAGTTGGTTGGCTGGTTGCTTGCTTGCTTGCTTGCTTGCTTGCTTGCTTGTGTCTGTGTGTCTATATTCATTGTCTTTCTGTATTTATGTTCTTCTTTCTAGCTTCCTTCCTTCCTTCCTTCCTTCCTTTTATTTCTTTAATTGTTTCTTTACTCCTTGCTTTCTTGCCTGATTGTTTGTCTGATTGTTTGTTTGTTTGGGCTAGTTCCGGTTAGGCTGCTTTTGCTTGGCTGTTTGTCTGCTTGTGGGCTTGCTCCTGTGTTTATTTCTGTCCCTTTTTTCCGGCTTGCTTGCGTGTTGATTTAGTTGTGTGTTTATTTGCTTGCTTACTTGCTTGCTTGTGTGTCCTCGTTTGCGCATGTGTGTGTGTGTGCGTGTGTGTTTGTTTGTCTGCCTGCCTGTCTGTCCGTCTGCTTGCTTGGTTGGTTGAGTGGTTGGATGGCTGGTTGAATGGTGGCTGGTTGGTTGGTTTTTGCTTGCTTGCTTGCCTGCCTGGCTGGCTGGCTGGCTTGGTTGGTTGCTTGGTTGGTCGGTTGGTCGTGTTTGCTTGCGTTCGTGTGTTTGCGCTTGCTTTGCTTGTTTGCTTGCTCGCTTGCTTCTTGATTGTTTTTTTTGATTGCTTGTTTGCCTGTTTGCATGAAAGGTCGCTAGCAAGGAAGCAATGATTCATACTAGAGGGGGTCGCACATTCAACCTTGACCATTGGCTGGGTAAACATTCAACTGCAGTAGTTGGAGCTCTTTCATCCCAGTCAACCGCAGAGCTGCCAACGTCACATAACTAGCAACCCCACACTCCGAGCCCCGTTTCATACAACAATCCTGAAATATCTATATAGCTTCCAAGACCAGACTGAGATCGGGTGTCCCTCCTCAAACTCGCTCTCTCAGATGATACGTGTGTCTCAACAACTGTATGACAGTCCCATCTGTCTGCACTTGTTTGGTTTGCTGAAGTTCTGCTTCTTGCAACTTGCTTCTAGTGCTGACCAATTGCAGGTTTGCAGTCAGTCTCACCTTCAAGTGTCCAACTCCAGTTAGTTCAGGAACACTCTGTCACACACACACATCACTGCACTTCATCAAATCATATAACTTCAAGGAAGCACATTTCGCTGATCAATCACTCAGCCTCTACTCGCAACGTCAACCTTTGCACCGCCGTTTCTACCTTTCAAAACGCGGCCGGCCGGCCGGGGCCCGCGCCAGCAGCGAGGTCACCGCGGCGCCCTCGAAGCTGAGCCACCTCGGTGCTTCGGGCGACGCCGGCCGGCCGGCTGGCATGGACTCCAGTCTTTGCAACAATTGCAAAAGCCGGGACCTCCAAATATTGCAATAATTGCAGTCATTAGAATCGAATTCCAATAATTGCAACTTTCTGCGTGAAGAATATTTCACCAGCCTGAAATAAGGTGGTGGGGGGGCCATTCCCCACATAAACTACCATTTGGGGTGAGGTCGTGTGAGGTCGTTATAACTCACCCAGAATTGTCCCAAACGCCCCAATGTGACAGGGCCGATTTGAGAATAAGGTTTTGTTGCCTGATTTTGAGGCTCTCTTTTCACCGCAGGTGAGCCGAGATGAATCCTCAAGCTGGGTGGGGGAAGGAGGCGCACATGAGCAGCCGGGAAGATTCTGACATTGACACACAGTGTTTCTTGCTCCTGTCGCTCAAATGAGTCGATTTTCACTCGGGTATACCTTAGAATCGACCTTGGTTCATTGAAGCTGGTTTCCAACATGGCAAGAACGAGAACGGCGGAGGGATAAACCAAGATCAAAGCAACGGCTTCTGCATCTCAACTTGTGACACATCTCAAAGCACCGAGTACTGGCGGCCAGTCGCAAATTGAAAGGTCGGTCAAACCCAGGCGGTTGTGTAGCTTTATCTAGGTCCTCCAGCAGAGAGGTTGAATAAGGGTACCCTTTTTCTGTAGTCTAATTTAGTAGGGGAACCCTCTCCCAAAAAAGGGGAGAGAAGGGCACTACTGGGGGACCTAGCTATGTTGTACCAGTCCGCTCCTGGTCCTTTCGGCTTATTACTCAAATTGTCCGTATCCATGCGCACCAAAGATCAGCACATCTGTGCCCCAAGAAAAGTCGTCGGCCTTGGATGCGCAAGGGCTTACTGCAACTCTGTCTGCGGAGGGATGGATTTGTGTCATGCAAATCATCAACTCCTTGACCCTCAGCCCTCCAGATGGTGGTCTCGAGTTCGTACCAAACAAAGGATGACCGTTCCGGTTTGGCCGTGGCAGAGGGTATGGAGAGAGAAACTGACGGCAACCAGAGCACAGTAGCTCCGTTACCTGAATGACAATGTCGCAGTGTCCGCTGAGCTCTGCCTTCACTGAGGGTGGCAGAATGCAGGAGCCACATGCATCTAACGCACCAAGAATCAGCAAGCACTTCGTATCAGCCTCTCTCGTGTGCAATCATCATCTGAGG